GGAACGTATGTCGGTGATGGCGGCTTCATCCAGTGAGGTGATAAGTAAAAGCTTCCGTACACTCCTATTGGTCGCACAAAGGGTTCTTGATGTGGGTATCTGTGCCATCCCCAGGTGGCTCCACTTAGAATATACTACCGTTATTACTGAGGATGAAATACATTATAGTTTTACATCCATCAAGTATAAATACTTCCAAAATATAAATACTTACAGAATACCGAGCCACCGTTGGTACTATGTGTACGCATGCATTATGAGACCTAAAATAACCCACTAAATTATCAAACAACCCACACCATCATCTCTGGAGCCATGCGCCCACTTTTACGGTTAGTTTCAGTTCTTTATAATCTGACAGTGGGGTGGCGTAATGATTCCTTAATGTTAAATAAATTAATAAAAAATCGCACAATCATCAAGGCGCACAATCCTCCTACATTTTGGGTACTGGGGCTCGGGTATTGGAGGCATTTGGTGTGTTGCGGAGGCAGTTGTAGTCAGTGATATTGCATGTGCATGCGTATGAGCAACGGTCTTGAGAGCGGAAATGGAGGGGCTAATCTAATTGAGCACCTGTCATCTGGCATGCAGCGGATGGAGGAGGGCCTGACCGTGGTTGGCGTTCCCATCGAGGATGAGAACTAAGATGTTGTCTAGCTACGAGGGCAGCTATAACAGTTCCGCAAGCCCCTTCCATGGCTCCCGTTGCTCGAGCACCTTCGGATGGTCGTGCACCTTCTGGCCATTGCAGTGACTACGCAACCTATGTATCTTGCTCGGACGGTGCCACCGTCAGTGGTGGAGGCATTTAGGGAGTGGGACAGCAGCATGGAAGACTGTTTTGAACAACTTTTTCCTCCGGGCACATGGGAGCACAACCCTGGCCAGATTGGCCCGTCTGCAGCTGCACCTCCCAGTCCGCCTGGGTGGTTTCGGTGTACGGGTTGCGGCGCCTTTGAGCCCTATCTCCTATGCCTATGGATGGGCGCAAACGGCCCGTCGTGTGGATCAGTGTCAGAATGTTATAATTGTCTAGCATGCAGTGGGGTACTACATAGCGAGTACAACCCAATTAGGGTTTCCTATATGTATGCCAACTGCTGCTAGTGCAACCCCTTCCTTTTCTCATTTTAATTCCTCATTCTCGTTCTAGTTTTCTCATGCTATCAGAGCATCTACGCTCCTGGCCTGTGGGCCCACCTAACTGCTTCCGCTGCTACTCTGTGTGCTACACGCCCCGTGGCGTGTGACGGATTTTTTCTTCCCGTCAGCCGCCCTCGTGTCGAGCACTCCTAGAGGCCCCTCTCACGACCCCTCGCGCGACCCTTAGCGGCCCCGTCGCCACTCCTCGCGGCCCCGTCGCCGTCCTTCTCGGCCCCTCGCGGCCCCTTCGCGGCCCCTTCGCGGCCCCGTCGCCGCCCCTAACGGCCCCGTCACCGACCTTTCAGGCCCCTCGCGGCCCCTTATCGGTCCGTCGCCGCCCTTCCAGCCCCTCGCGGCCCCTTCGCGGCCCCGTCGCCGCCCCTCGCGGCCCCGTCGCCGCCCCTAGCGGCCCGGTCGCCGCCTCCAGCGGCCCCGTCGCCGCCCCTTGCGGCCTCGTCGCCGCCCCTAGTGGCCCCATCGTCGCCCCTATCGGCCCCGTCGCCGCCTCCAGTGGCCCCGTCGCCGCCCCTTGCTTCCCCGTCGCCGCCCCTTTCGGCCCTTCCTCGACCCTGCCCCGGCGCCGCCCCGGCCATGCTCCGTCGCCTGTCGCGGCGCACCGGGGGCACGTGCACCGCCCCCTCCTCTTTTCCCGTCGCCCGTCGCGGTTCCCTGGGAGGGGGGCGAGCGTCGCCCCTTCTGGCGCCTGTTTTGGCGCCCTGGGAGGCTGCGCGTCGCCCCCCCTCCCCCCCGTAACCTCCCTACCCGTCGCCCGGCCCTACCCTGTGTTAGGGTTTGGGGGTGGCGAGTAGGGGGTGGCGGGTGTGTGGTCTCCCCTGCTCCTCCTCCTCCTCTGTCTCCCACTGCTGCAGCTGCCGATGAGGGGGGTGGGTGTGTGGGAGTCGACGGAGTGGTGCTAGGGGGTGGGGTGTGAGTGAACCTATGGTGCAGCAAGGGGTGTGTAAAAGGGGGGTGCTGTGGGAGTGGAACTAGGGTTTGAGCAGGGGGTGTGTGTCGAGGGGTGTGGGGCAGCTGGAGGAGATTGTGTAAAGGTAGTTGTTGTGTCGCCTGCAGCGCCTGTAGTCCGTCGCCCTTGCTTCGCTAGCCAGTGAGCCTGTTGCACCAGTCGCCAGTGGGTCCGTTGCTCCTGCCGCTCGTCTATAGCCGCGAAGTCAGTTACTCCAGTAGTCCGTCGCCCTTGCTTCGGTAGCCACTGAGTCAGCCGCTCCTGTGCCCGTGCCTCTGTAGCTTCAGTCGTTGCCTCCCATCTTCTCTCCCTCCACAGTTCCTCCTCCTCCTCACTTGCCCGCTGTGATTAACTCTAGCTTTGTTCGTTATTGTGAACTCCTGCTCTATCCCTGCTTGCTCATTGTGCTGATTACACCCCACTTTGGCTATGAGGGTGTGTCAGAATGTTATAATTGTCTAGCCTGCAGTGGGGTACTTTATAGCGAGTACAACCCAATTAGGGTCTCCTATATGTATGCCAACTGCTGCTAGTGCAACCCCTTCCTTCTCTCATTTTCATTCCTCATTCTCGTTCTAGTTTTCTCAATCAGCTGGGGATAGCGATAGAGGAGGCGATGTTTTCCGACTACCTTAGCTTTTCGTGAGTGGGTGGACTTTCTTGAGTCGTGCTTCTCAAAGAGTCTCGAGCAGCTGCCTGATGCTGTGCGGTAGGAGATATCGGGTCTCCACCTTTGCGTAACGGCCCCACCTGTTCGACTTTTTTGCACACGGCAGCGGCTGTTAATTGTGGAAGAGCTCCAGGCCCTCCGTCGTATGGCCCATGACGATGCTACGGTGGCCCGTTTCACACCTCTTAAGGGCCCGGGAGTTGGTGCATGGGTTTTGGCGGTGCCAGCGCATTCAGATTTGACACCCACAGCCGCGAAATGGGGCATTGCGGCGGCTGCGCGTCTGGGCCTTCCGATTCAACAATTGCACGTCGCGGGTCATTGCGTTTGCGGGACGGAGTACACAGACCCGGCGGACCCACACCATGCATTGTGCTGCAAGCACCATCATGAACCGTCTGGGTGCACGACAAGGTGAAGTTTGTTGTGGCTAGGATCGCCAAGGCATCATGAGGGGTGGTATTGATGGAGGACGACTCGATGTTGATAGGGAAGCGGGTGGATGTCGCTGTGCGCCGACCAACGGTGAAGGAAGCGCATGCTCTGGAGATGAGCGTTGCCAACCCATTGTGCAGTATGGCCGGTCCATAGGAGTGGCAGCCAAGGAATGGGAGCGCAAGAAGACGGGAGATTATGCACCGCTACTAGCGCGCAACCGAGGGGTGCAGTTCACCCGTCTGATTGTAAAGACGTGGGAATGTTTGGGTGGGCGTTATCGACGTTGGCTGCGGCAACAGGGGGACGCACATGTTGGGCTTGCCGTGTCGAGGGAGGCATGTCAGGAGGGCGACTAGTCATTTTCCTCATATCTCATGGGGTACTTGAAGGCTATGATTGGGGGCCTTGTAGCGTGCCCATGCTCGGGTCATTATGCTTCGCTGTGCATCGTCTACGGGAGGAGCAGATATTGATCTGGTGGACAAGGAGAGGGAGGACATTGCGGAGATGGGGGAAACACTGTGGGTGGAGGCTATATTTGGTGTCCGCCCCAGTTTGAGGGGCGCCTGGAGAGTTATTTGTTGGGGGGCTTTTTATGGGGGGTTTCATTTATGTTAGGCCGCTTTCTGGGTTGGTTTTTCTCTCCTTATTGGGTGGCAATTGGGTAAATGATAAACTCTAGAGTGCCATAGTTTGACCAACCATGTATTGTGTCATCAATAAATTCTCATATCACAAGGAAAAAGAATAATAAAAAGCGCACTCGAGCGCTGAAGAAGATGTAGTGTTCTAGAACGAATGGGTGAGGGACCTACATATTGTCAACAATATTAACGAGGATCTGGCAATGTATTTATTTTCTAGATTCCAGTTTCTTGCACGACAGTACCTAGGATCCGAAGTAAATGTACCTAGGTGACTAGGTCCTGTGCTCCAGTCTGCTGGAAGATTCGTATGCCAGCATTCGCCTCGTCTCCTCTCCCGTGAATTTCGCCGAAGTTTGAATCGAATCAGAACCATTCACTGCACTGCCGACGTCTATTCTCCAGTCTAGTTTCCCGACGCGCTGTCCATGGCGGCTGCGACCGACCCTGCGGTATTCACGAAGCTGGCGGAAGATAAGACGTCGGAAACGAATGGTTTCGGAAGTTCAGCTGAGAATGGCGGGACAGCTGACATTCCGGCTGTCAGCTCGGGGGATGTAGTCACAGGAGGATCATCGGATCCCATTCCTGCTCCTTCTGACGTAGTGTACGACCCCTTTTAACGAAGCGTGCGACTTTCTTGTTACCGAGGCGTTCGCGAAAGGATTCGCAAGCGAAGCGTACGGCTTGATGTTACGAATTAGTTGCACTCCCCTGGCAGCAGAGCTTATACTTAGCTTCATGTTGCTGTTTCAATCCAGCGTGCAGCCCCATTGGCTAAGTTCCGCTGCCCGTTCTGACCTTTTGATCTGCCTCAGGATTTCTCCGGCTCTCATTTCCCGCATTCGCTCCGCACAATCCCTCACCTAATCACCCGAACCTCTTTTGCGATACCGGCTCGTTTTGCAGAAGCACGGGAGACGCGGTGCCGGCAGCGGCAAGCGCAGAGGCGAAGGCTGCGTCGACGGAAGCAGCAGGAGCAGCAGCAGCAGACGGGGGTGGAGCGGGAGGCAGCATGCCGGCAGGGGAAGCGGATTCGGATAAGACCGCCGATCCGACAGACGGAGCCAATCAGGCGGAAGAAGGGACTCCGCGCGGGGATGGCGGCGAGGGGGGAGGGGGAGGGGGAGGGCACACGATGATCGGCGGGAGCATCGTGGGGGACGTGCTTTACAGCATCGCCACGGGCGAGGAGGAAGGGCGCTCGCGCGCTCGCATCCTCGCGTTTGCTGCTAAACGGTGCGCGGGGGAGGGAGGTTGAGACGGGCGGAGAGAGGCAGTATGAGAGCGAGTAAGGGTGAGAGGGGATGACGGCCAAGGAGGAAGGCCGCTCGCGCGCTCTCATACTCGCGATCGCCGCTAAACGGTGTGACCGCGTTTGAGAATTCTCAAAAGTGATTTCGCTCGCGCGCTCTCATACTCGCGATCGCCGCTAAACAGTGTGACCGCGCGAAGTGGAAAAAGGGGAAGTGAGGGAGCAGGAGTGAGGGAGAGCCGGCTGAACACATACATGTCGCAGCTTCACCCACCTTTCAATCGCACACACCTCCACCCGCACATGTGACATGCCCACAGGTACCAAACAGCGGTGGAGCGCAACCCCCGGGACTACGACGCGCTCTACAACTGGGCGCTGGTGCTGCAGGAGAGTGCGGACAACAGCGGGCCCGAAGCGGGGCTGCAGGGGAAGGACGCTCTCCTGGAGGAGGCGTGCCGCAAATACCAGGCCGCTAGTGTGCTGTGTGGCACGCTGCACGAGGTGAGGGGGGGAGAGGGGTGGGAGGCAGACAGTGAGGAGGTAGACAGAGAGGAGGCAGACAGAGAGGAGGCAGACAGAGAGGAGGTAGACAGAGAGGAGGCAGACAGAGAGGAGGCAGACAGAGAGGAGGTAGACAGAGAGGAGGTAGACAGAGAGGAGGCAGACAGAGAGGAGGTAGACAGAGAGGAGGTAGACAGAGAGGAGGTAGACAGAGAGGAGGTAGACAGAAGGATGCACGAGGTAAGCAAACAGAGGGGCGTTGCCATTCCCGACTAGGCATTCTCCTCCTGTTTCCATTCCACCCCCGCCTTTCACACCCTTCCTCCTTCCTCCCTTGTCCCTTCCCTTCACGTTCGCCAGGCCTTCTACAGTTGGGCCATTGCCGACGAACCAGGCATCCTACTCTTGTTCCCACTCCCTGCCTTACAAAACCCCCTCTTCTTCCTCCCTTGTCCCTTCCATTCACATGGGGCGTCCACCGCAGGCCTTCTACAACTGGGCCATTGCCATTTCTGACCGAGCCAAGATCCGAGGCAGGACTGCCGAAGCTGAGGACCTCTGGAAGCAGGTACGGTGAGGCGGTAGGGGAGCATGGGGAGGACGAGGGTGATAGCAATGAGGTGTAGCAATAATTCGTGCAATGACCAGGCATACCGTGCAGTGCAGTGGAGTGCAGTGGAGTGCAGTGCAGTGCAGTGCAGTGCAGCGCAACTGGGACTCGCCCAGGCGCTCAGTTACTGCCCTGCCTGCGTCTGCAGGGGGTGGCCTGGCCAGGCTACTCTCCCTGAGTTCACCGTTCACCCAACCCAACCACTCCGAAATCCTTTCCCTCACTCCAAGTATGAACGAGCAGTGCATCTTTATTGGGACCACCCTCCAGGCGCTCAACAATTGGGGGCTGGTGCTGCTTCATTGGGGGGGAGAGGCCAAGACGCTTTCTTCCAACCCACTCCCTCTGAGCTCGTGCACCTCTCTCAACCCCTCCCCACTCCCTTCACTCACCCCCATCACCAGGCGTGCAGCAAGTACGAGCGGGCAGTGCAGCTCAACTGGGACTCGCCCCAGGCGCTCAACAACTGCCTTGCCCTCTGCTTGTCTGAACCCACCTACTTCACTCCACACCTCTCAACCCCTCCCAACTCCCACCCCGCCAGGCGTGCAGCAAGTATGAGCAGGCAGTGCAGCTCAACTGGAACTCGCTGCAGACGCTAAACGACTGGTTTGATTTGTCCTCTGCATGTTCGAATCCACTCCATCTGATCTCCCCACCCCCCCACCCCCCTCTCCTCCCTCCACACTCCCTCTCCCCACCCCACCAGGCGTGCGTGCAGCAAGTACGAGAGGGCAGTGCAGCTGAACTGGGACTCGCCCCAGGAGCTCAACAACTGGGGGCTGGCGCTGCAGGAGGACGGGAATGTGTATGCTCCCAACCCACTCGCGCTGGGCTCGTGCACACCTCCCAACCCCTCTCAACTCCCTCTCCCCACCCCACCAGGCGTGCAGCAAGTACGAGAGGGCAGTGCAGCTGAACTGGGACTCGCCCCAGGAGCTCAACAACTGGGGGCTGGCGCTGCAGGAGGACGGGAATGTGTATGCTCCCAACCCACTCGCGCTGGGCTCGTGCACACCTCCCAACCCCTCTCAACTCCCTCTCCCCACCCCACCAGGCGTGCAGCAAGTACGAGAGGGCAGTGCAGCTGAACTGGGACTCGCCCCAGGAGCTCAACAACTGGGGGCTGGCGCTGCAGGAGGACGGGAATGTGTATGCTCCCAACCCACTCGCGCTGGGCTCGTGCACACCTCCCAACCCCTCTCAACTCCCTCCACCCACCCCACCAGGCGTGCAGCAAGTACGAGAGGGCAGTGCAGCTGAACTGGGACTCGCCCCAGGCGCTCAACAACTGGGGGCTGGCGCTGCAGGAGCTGAGCACCATTGTGCCGGCCAAGGACAAGCGCAAGGTGGTGCGCAAGGCCATCAACAAGGTGAGGGATGTGCGATGAGGTGTAACACATGTGTGCATGCTTATCGATGCTCCTCTCCCTCGTTAGCCAGCCTAAATTGACTCCTGTCGCATTCACCCCTTGTCCCATTCACCCCTTGTCCCATTCATGCCTTGCCATCACCTTCACCCATTCTCATTCCCGCTGTCCCCACAGTATCCATACATGTCCGCATGTGTGAGCATGCATACAAGGGTGCAAGGGGGTGCAAGGGGGTGCAAGGGGGTGCAAGGGTGCATTCGTTGCTCTCATTCTCTCCACCTTGTCCTCCCCGCTAACCCACCAGTTCCGAGCAGCCATCCGCCTGCGATACGACTTTCACCGAGCCATCTACAACCTCGGCACCGTGCTGGTATGTGCTGTGTGGTGCTGGTATGTGCTGTGCTGTGCCTGTATGTGCTATGCGTTGCTGGTGTGTGCTGGTATTTATCAAGACGGTCCTTTAAAATCTGCTCAAAAGCGTTGAGAGATCCCTCCCCTACCCCTAAAAGGCCCCCTTCCTCCCCCATTTCCCTTCCTCCTCCCTTTCCTCTTCCCTTCATGGCCTCAATACAGCTTGGCGATTAAAATAAAAGCAGGCGAAGAACAAGACGGGGGTCATGCCTGACAGCACCACCTCCCTGTGCTATGTTGCCACCCACCCTTCTTCCTTTCCCCTCTTACCCCTCCCCCCTTCCCCACCCCCTCGTTGCTTCAGTAAGGCCTGGCAGAGGACACAATGAAGCAGGCCAAGAGCAAGACGGGGGTCATGCCTGACCGCACCACCCCCCTGTGCTATGTTGCCACCCACCCTTCTTCCTTTCCCCTCTTACCCCTCCCCCCTTCCCCACCCCCTCGTTGCGCCAGTACGGCCTGGCAGAGGACACAATGAAGCAGGCCAAGAGCAAGACGGGGGTCATGCCGGACCGCACCACCCACCCGGCCAACGAGGTCTACAGCCAGTCTGCTGTGTACATCGCTGCTGCTCATGCCCTCAAGGCCGATTACCCCGTGAGTGTGCGGAGTGGAGAGAGAAAGGGGTGCGTGAAGAGGGAGAGAGAGCGCATTCATGACGGCTGGCGACACCACCCACACAGCCAACGAGGTCTACAGCCAGTCTGCTGTCTACATCGCTGCTGCTCACGCACTCAAGGCCGATTACCCCGTGAGTGTGCGAGGAGAGGAGAGAGAGCGATAGCAAGAGAGAGCTGAGAGTGGGAGTTTTATGCCATACTACTCCCACTCACCCGGCCAACGAGGTCTACAGCCAATCCGCTGTCTACATCGCTGCTGCGCATGCTCTCAAGGCCGATTACCCTGTGAGTGGGCAAGGGGGGAAGAGAGAGAGTGCGAGCAGGAGAGAGGGGAGGGTGGTGGTAGCCTTTTGAGGCGCCTCAAAAGAGGGGAGGGTGGTGGTAGCCTTTTGAGTCGCCTCAAAAGTCACCTAAGTCACCTAGACTTTTGAGGCGCCTCAAGAGAGGGGAGGGTGGTGGTAGCCGTATGCCTGACCACTCCCAGCACCCGGCCAACGAGGTCTACAGCCAGTCCGCTGTCTACATCGCTGCTGCGCACGCTCTCAAGGCTGATTGCCCCGTGAGTGTGCTGAGTGCTGATTTCAAAGAGCAAAAGAGAGGAGAGGGGAGAGGAGAGGGGAGAGGAGAGGGGAGAAGGGAGGCCTGCTTTTTGACCGCACCACTCACCCGAGCAATTTACATCGCTGCTGCTCATGCACTATGAAATCGGACCACCCTATGAGCGAGCAAGGATAACGAGGAGAGGGGATGTTTGGCTTTTGAGACGTCTCAAAAAAGGATGTTCGGGGAGGAGAAATTGAGTGAGGGAGAGAGGAGGTGGTTTTTGAGAGTTCTCAAAAACCACCATGTGAGCGAGCAAGGGTAACGAGGAGAGGGGATGTTCGGGGAGGAGATATTGAGTGAGGAAGAATGTTTTTTTTTTAGAATACTAAAAAAGCATACTCAGGATAACAAGGAGAGGGCATGTTTGGGGAGGCGAAACTGAGTGAGGGAGAGAGGAGGTGAGGAGACATCCATGCATATGCGCATGCCCCATCCACATGCATATGCACACGCGTATGCAAGATGCGACGTGTATGAAGAAGTGATCTCAATGCACATGCATATGCATGATGCGTTTCTCATTGCAACTTTCTCGGGCATGTCTGATGTTTCTTTCCTCTCACTGCATCGTTGAGGTGCCTGAAGAATTTGCTCTCACTGAATCTTGCCTTTCTTCCTGCGTGTGTGTGTGTCTGTGTGTGTGTGTGTGTGTGTGTGTGTGTGTGTGTGTGTGTGTGTGTGCATGTGCATGTCATCCTCTGGCCTGGAAAATTGGGATGACTCAGGTGTACCGCAATGCTCTTCGGCTCGTGCGCACCATGGTGAGCTGTGTAGAACACATGCATATACACTCAGGCACACGCACAGCACAAGCACATGCACACAAACATGCATACGCGCTCGCAAGTGCACATGCACCTACACAAGCACACTCACATGCGCACACACGTTCCATTGCATATGCACTTGCACACGCACTCGCACACACACTCGCACACGCACTCGTACACACACGCACACGCACTCGCACACACACTCGCACATGCACTCGCACACACACTCGCACACGCACTTGCACGCGCACCTGCCCATACACATACAAGAACATGCACTTTTATATAAGAACAGTAAAATCCTAAACCTCACACATATGATTCGACCACTGTCATAAGTGTACCACCACTGATGATTGGTCCATCGCAGTGATTCTACTGAGTTTTTCATGCCATTTTCAAGGCGACTCAACAGTCAGTTCAGTGCCACTGCGATGCCATCAGATAAGAAACCTAAAATATCTTCCGTGGTGGACCGTGCCACTGCCGTGTGCCACAGCAGTGGTCATGAGTAACTCAACAATTTCCCCATCCCTTTCTTTCCCTCTCACCACCTTATGTCCGAGCGTGCCCAGCTGCCCCTCCCGTATCTCAAGGGCGGCTACCTCACAGTGCCACCTGGCGGCAACTCATTGGCTCCCCATGCGGAGTGGCTCAGGCTCTGGTTTGTGCTGGACCATGAGCGGCTCAAGGAGGTGCGTGCTTTGTCTTTGGGACTGCTGCTCACCCTGTTGCTGCTGCTGTTGCTGCTGCTGCTGGCGTTATTCGTTGCTCTGGTTTGTGCTGGACCATGAGCGGCTCAAGGAGGTGCGTGCTTTGTCTGTGGGACTGCTGCTCACCCTGTTGCTGCTGCTGTTGCTGCTGCTGCTGGCGTTATTCGTTGCTCTGGTTTGTGCTGGACCATGAGCGGCTCAAGGAGGTGCGTGCTGCTCGCGTTGTGCGCGGCTGGAAAATGTGCGTGCTTGAGTGGCTTGAGGTCACTTTTGAGTCGACTCAAAAGTCGCTTGAGTGGCTTGAAAAGGGTTTGTTTGGTGCCTGGAAGCCTGTTGGGGTCTCTGTTGCTAAGGGCCATGCTGTGTAAGGTGTTCTCCTCACTCTCCACACACTCTCCGTCAATCTCTCCTCACGCTCTCCGCAAACTCCCGTTACACTCTCCCTTACTCCCCTCTCACTTGTCGCCCCGACCTTCATCCATCCCTCTAAATACCTCCAGGGCAAGAAGCCCGAGCCTAAGCAACCCCACAGCAACCTGACCTCCCGCCGCAACACAGCCAACTCCCAGACCTCTGTAACAGCTTCGATCGTCCCCAAGCCTGAGCCCGCTCCCCCAACTGCTGCCGCACCTGCCGCGCCCGCCAACGCTGGAACCGCTGGTTCAGCTGCTGCCACGTCAGATGGGGGAAGGTGGTCGTCGGATGCCATGGGTGGGCGGCCAAACTTGTCTTCTAGTGTGGAGGATGCAGTTTCTGCACTGCCGCCTCCACCGATTCAAGTGGATATTGGCCAGATTGTGTCAGTGGAGGCTTGTGCTGATCTCAGCCTGCCGGCTGGTGGAGGCATTGTGCTGGACACTGTAGATGGGCCATTTTACATGGTGAGTGTAGTTGTTTGGTTGCTAAAAAACTGTAGGTGAAGTTGATGTGAAGTTACGGTAGGATGGTTTCAATGTCTGGTCCTTGCTTGGTCCTCAATATTTCGTTTGTTGCATTGTGTGCGTGATGCAGGTGGCGGACGATTGGGACTCCATGGATGCTTGGGTGGATGCAATTCGTCTGGTGTACACGATCTATGTGCGAGGGAAATCAGAAGATCTTGCAGCAGTTCTCGCTGCTTAACTGAAGCTACCGTACAATGATATAGTCTTCTTGGAAGAGAGTGAATATGAATTTCATGCCCTACATGTTTATGTGCTCTTTTGTGTATGAACTGACTAAATCAAGTGGTATTTGTTGCTGTATTCTATCAGCCAGTGTACTAACTGCACTCGCGAGGTTCTTCATTATTTCAACTTATTGAGGGAAGGATGAGACCCCATCCGCAAATCCCAAATGACCGAGCGAGTATCATCCTCGGTACGCTACTTCTCGTTTCTTGTCACGACAGTTCAGTTTCCATCGGTACTCTACTGAATATCAATTTGCTTCCATGTTCTCCTCCACCCTCCCCTTCCCTTGAGAATTGTTTCGCTTGCGCCTCTCTGACTGCACATAGCAGCTACGTTTTCAAAGCCCAGTCTCTCCCCTCTTCCACCTTCCTTTCTGCCCTGGGGTGGTCCCTTCTCTTGTAACTCTCACACCGTCTAGTCGCAGAAGTAGCCATGGCGCCCAAAGGTGAGGGCGCGAAAATGTTACGCGTCGTCTAGTTTGATGTTCACGGTTTTCCTCCGGGTTTATGATAGTACCATGGACTCGTCATGGTGGAAATTTAGGACAACAGCTTAGCAGAATGTAGCAGCCGTTGGATTAGGGTTTCTTACAGGCAGCCGGTGCTTCCATGACCCTAGAAGGTGGTCGTTGATGAAATTCGTGCGGGATTCTCCCTCTCTGGTTTTTTTTTAGTATCTGCGGCACGGAATGTTAGGGTTGAAGAAATAGATAATGCTCGTACCGTTTGTTGTCATTATCGAACCGACTGGTCCGCATTACGTACATCAGTGCTGTGCGGAATAAACCAGGATCAGAGTTCGTTTCTTCCTTATCCGTCAAGTTAATTCGTGGCTCTCACCCTTGTTTCCTTCACCAGGCAAGCCCGATGCCAAGGCACAAGCCGCAAAGGCCGCCAAGGCCCTGAAGAAGACGAGCAGGAAGAAGATCCTCAAGGTCCGGACGTCCGTGCACTTCCACCGGCCCAAGACCCTGAAGAAGGCTCGCAGCCCCAAGTACCCCAGAATCTCCGCTCCTCCCATGCAGAAGCTTGACCAGTTCCGGGTGAGTAGGTATTCGCATGGACCTTCGTTTATGACTCGAGTTTGCGTGTTTCTAGTCGGCTTAAGCATCCCTGGCGAAGGTTCGGAGGCTTAAGTGCCTCAGAATCTCGGCTCCTCCCATGCAGAAGCTCGACCAGTTACGGGTGAGTGGATCTTCGAATGAACCTCTGTTTCTGTTATCATGCTGTCGAATGGAACCGATTGCACTGAATCTCTAAATGCGGGGAGCAGGTCAGTGGTGGACGAGCCAGCCCTCTTCAAACAGATTACGATCCACTTTCGGGTGGAAAAGTTTCAAGGGACGAATGGTGCACGCGATGCCTTTCGTTGTTCTGCGTAGTTTGCAAACGAAGGGTGCTTAGTGGCTTCTTGTTGCACGCATGGCTGTCCGTGATGCTGACGCTGACTTCTTGAGTAGCAGATGGAGATCGCCTTCATACGCTTCCATCACCAGAAGTTGTACGACGATTAGGAGTAGGCGCTGGTGCTCCTGGAAGGACCGTCACTTTCTAGCTGGTTGATTTCACGCTAGCCGGTAATTTTGTCCTCAATAGGACATCTGATAGCTTAGACATCTGACTGACCAGTCCACGACGTCCCGCGATTCTAGGTTCCCTAAGAGTAGTCAGGACATTCCAGTCGCTGCTTTCCTGAACGACGAATCCGAAGCATCTGAAGACCGTAGATCATCTTAACCGAGACTTATTTAGACCGTCGAGTTTTCGAACGCCTAGTCAGTGGCATTCAAAGCTGCTGGCTATTCACGGTTACTCTGAAGGAGTTATTGATTTGTAAATTTTCCTGACTACTGGTCAGAGACATTCGGGTCCTTTGTTAATGAAAGCGGCTAGTTATCGAGGTTCTAAGACTGTACGTTCTCAGGAGGATTTTCAGAGCCATTCCTGATTGCAGATAACCTAGCGTCATGGATGCATATGATTACAGAAAAGTTACTTGCGAGAATGCTGGGTGCAGCAAAGTTTGACGTAGCTGACATTTTCGTGCCGAGGTTTTCGTGATTTCCGTCATAACACAAGCTGTAGGTCTTTTGACCTCGGAGTAGGGCATGAAGAAATTATCTGGAAAAAACATTGTCACGATGCTGATGTTTCCGTACCTTTTTTTCCCTCTTATCACTATCCCCCTATTACTCGCTCTCCCAGGTGCTGAAGTTCCCGCTGACGACTGAGTCGGCAATGAAGAAGATTGAGGACAACAACACGCTGGTGTTCATTGTGGATCTGCTGGCCACCAAGAGGCAGATCAAGGAGGCCGTCAGGAAGATGTACGACATCCAGTGCAAGAAGATCAACACACTCATCAGGTAACAATTATTGTGGTTTTTTTTGTTGTTTTGGGAGAACATATGGACAGCATGAGCTTCATGAGAATCACCATCAAGCCCACATATCACTCTATAGGGAGGAATTAGACATTCGCTTCATGAACTTCATATTTGACATCTTGGTGCTTGGACTTACCAAATTTTACCTACTAAAGTATTCTGCATCTCGCAATGCCCGTCCCTTTCAATCTTCTGTCACCCCAATCCCTACACCCTATGACGTGGCAGGCCTGACGGACAGAAGAAGGCGTACGTGCGGCTGACAGCAGACTACGATGCTTTGGACATTGCCAACAAGATCGGCATCATCTAAATCTCGCCCACTGTACTGCTGCTGCTACTGTTCCGCCTCTACTGTCCTCCTGCCTGTCGCCAGGGAGGCATGGGGCTTGGTATCAGCCATTTTGGAGCTATTGTGGTGTACTGTCCTGTTCTTAGTGCCTAATTCAATCCATCTGCTTGCAGTGATTGGGTAAGGGCAACCAACATGGCCAATGCCACAGCATCCAACTCTTGCTGGCCCAGTCTGCATTGCAACTCCACAGTGGATTGGAAGCATACTGTGAAACGAGCAAGACAGGATTGAACAGCTGAACGAAGTCACCTTACACCTTGTCAAATTCTTCAAGGTACCTAAATGCACAACACTAAAGAGACTCAAGCTTGCCTAAAACAATTGATTTCTAGCTTCCCGCAGGGCCAAGGACTGTACCATACTAAGTCCTGAATCCAATGATGCTTCGCATCAGCAACATCATGATTCACCAAAAGATTGACACAAGTCAATGACATGTCATGGCACAAAGCCCTGTCCCCAGTGGTACTCTCCTCCTCCAGCAGCAGACCCATCTTGCCTGCCTTTGGTCGCTCCAAGCTGCCACACCCCCTGCTGCACCGGCAGAGAGGGTCCCCCTGATGATGGCATTCCAGTTGCATGCTCAGCTGATGACAGGACTGCTTGCTGTGCTGCAGCCGTTTGCCCAGGCACCAGGACAGCCCCAGTGTCAGGGGTGAAGGCAGCGTAATTGCTCCTCTGGAAATCAGTCAGCCAATCAGCGCTCAGCTGCTGCATGGCTGACGAATCATCAAAGAGTAGATGGCCCACTGCACTCACATCTGCCACATCCCCAGCCGTACATGTTTCACCCAGAGGCGTTGCTACTGCTCCATCAGTTACTCCTACTGCAGCTTCTGTTACTCCTCTGTGATCCTGTATTCCTCCAACCACTCCAACTTCTGTGGTCCCTCCAGGGCCAGTTTCCCTTATCCCAGGGTTTCCAACGCTGCTGGGCCAATCACAGCCCGACATGTCAGCAGCACATTCATCCCCCATAAGGAGCTGCTCAATATCGTGCATGTCAAGGGATGCTGCAGTCTGCCCCTGACCTGCAGTCATTGACAGTGATTCCTGAAAGGCCCCACCACTAGCAGCATCGTCTTCCCCGGTGCCCATTCCTCCGGCGAATGCATCTGGGCCGTCAATCTCCGCTACGAAGCCCCAAAGTGATTGGCTGGAATATGCTGGCAGGACTGGCTCTGGCTCCGCAGTGGATGGTAACACCTGCTGCACCACTCTCTGCGGCACCTGTGGCATCTGTGACATCTGTTGCTGCTGCTGCTGATGCTGCTGCTGATGCTGCTGCTGCTGCTGCTGCTGCTGCTGATGATGATGATGATGCTGCTGCTGATGCTGCTGCTGATGCTGCTGCTGATGCTGCTGCTGATGCTGCTGCTGATGCAGCTGCTGATGCTGCTGCCCTCTGCCCTCCTGCAATTCTTCTGCCACCTGCTCCTCCCACTGCTGCTGTTGCTGTTGCTGCTGCTGCTCCTTCCACTGATGCTGCTGCTGCAGATACGATTGCTGTGGCTCAGGCTGAGGCTGACAAGTCACGGGGAAGGAACTAGTACGTTCCATGGATTCTGGATTAACCGAGCTAACCAATTCAGCTGAGCCACCTGGGCCAACTGGGTCAACGGGCAGTAGAAAGTGGTTTCCAGTGGCAGCATCAGGTGGAGCATGCACGGTGGTTCCATGCCTCCCCGTCTCACCTTGCCCTCCTCCACCATCACCCCTTTCTCTGTCGCTGGCACTCTCACTTGCGTCTGCACTAGCGCTGGCGCTCGTGCTTGCACTTGCACTGGAAGCAGGCACTCCGAGACAGGACGGAGCAGCAGGCGGATGGGAGGCAGCAGCAGCAGCAGCAGCAGCAGCAGCACTCCCGCGGGGATGGAGTGGGCTGTTGGGAAGACGTGGACACGGGCTGCTGCTTCGGGACCGGGGAGGCCGTGCGGAGGCGGATGGGTGGGGTGGATTACCCGAGGAGGATGGGTGGGAAGAAGGACCCGAGGAGGGATGAGCGGGAGGAGACGGTAGAGCGAGTCCCGTTCTCCCATAGGCTCGTGGAGACGGAGAGTGGACGGAGCGGGGGGAGGGGGATGACAGGCCGCGAGGGGAAGGAGAGGTCAATCCGCCACGGGGGGAGGGGCGGGGGGAAGGGCGGGAGGAGGGGGAGAGCATGTTGCGGGGGGAGGGGGTGGAGAGGGCGCTGCCAGACCCGCCAGGT